TTTTTAGCTTGAAAAGACAAGTGGGAGTGCAAGGCATATGTTGTTTTGCTGAACATCGTAGCTTGCTTAATGTGAATGGCAGGATTTCATGGTTCTCTGTGACCTAACTAAAGACTGTAAATATGCTGCAGTAAAGTGATAGACAGCTGTGTCTTTGACATGCTGGCTTCATGTCCATTAGCTGCACACTATCAAGTGGGATGGGTGGATTGTGTAGATCTACTTTAGTTCCGTGAAGCACTTCTGTACTGTTCTCCAGCATGGAGTGGTTGTTTTGTTCAACATTGCCAGTTCATTCTCCTCCAGTCTTTGTTACTAGCTGATTTTAGTTGTTACATAATAGCTATTCTAAGTGGGTGAGAAGCTCACTCAGTACTTTTGGATGCATTCTGGGACTTACTCTCCAAACTGTGGCTCATCCATTTATTTCCTGTATATTCCACCCTCTGAGTATGTAGTCCTTCTCAGCTCCTTTGTCAAATCCCATATGAAATGTCTGTTATTTCATATTCTGAATGGTATGCTTGAAGCAGTTCTTAAACAGTACAGTTGTGCACATGTGGAGGGTAATGAGCAGTTGTAGAATATTCAGTTTTGAGACTCAGGCTTTTCTTTATTTTTTAGGTTAACAGAGATCACATGTGCTAGATCATGTACTTGTTTGGAGTTGTGGAAATCCAGGCATCATTCTGTTTTTCATGCAGGGTGCTGCCCATGTCCTCTTGGCTGTAGATTTTTTTTTTAACTTCTATTTTATTTTATTTTATTTTATTTTATTTTATTTTATTTTATTTTATTTTATTTTATTATTAATTACACTTTATTCACTTTGTATCCCCCATAAGCTCCTCCCTCCTCCCCTCCTGATCCCACCCTCCTTCCCCTTTCTTCTCGAATGCTCCTTCCCAAGTCCACTGATAGGGGAGGTTTGGCTGTAGATTTATTTTTATTTTTTTTTAATTGTTCTGAGTGTTTGTGACTACAGACTTACTGTCTTCATTTAGGAGGGCCCAAGCATGTGAAAAGGAAGATTATGTGGACACCAGGCTTGTATCCCTAGCCATCTTTCAGATCTTCCATTTGCTTCCTTTCTGCTGCTTAGTTTGAGCGTCCCTGGCAGGTTCCAGGCTCCGCACCTCCTGGCTTTACACACTGCTTACACTCTGCAACTATGCAGCGAAAATGACCATTAGTGCTTAGTTTCCACCCTCCCCCACCCCCGTTCAGCTTTTATTTTGCTTACAGCAGAGGAGTTGCCTCCAAGTGTAAATTTATAGACTTTCCCGATCTGGTGGCTGATTTTGATTCAGCCTAAGTGGGACAACTATGCAGTGGTTGGCACTACAGTTCTCTGCATTTCTATTGGATATAGCTGATTTGAATCCTAATTGTGTGGTTTGACAAAGTGATAATTATATACACACACACACAGATATATACAAACCATATATTTTTACCTAGATGGAAGATTATACTTTTCTACAAAAACAATTCTGCTTGCATACTTTGCAACAGCCTGAGAAATTTAATTCAGCTAGTTCTTTGGATTTGTTCAGTTATTTGAACCAAAGCTTTAATGGAGCTGTGGAGCTCTATATCATAAAACACAAAAGACTTTATTCCGACTTGAGATATTTTGCAAGGCAGAACTTACTCATCTCTATCACCTTTATCATAAAATTTATAAGGCCCTTAGAAACCTCAGGCCATGGAGCCCTGTAAGAGAGCATCAGAGTGGCTTTGCTAGTTAACCTTTCCACATACAATGAAACCAATGTGTTGAACATAAATTTTAGCATTTTGCTTTTTAGTATAGAAGTATGCTTGCCAAAACTTATGAGCTGGTGTAGGTAAAGTGGTTACTGTTGTGTTGTTCTTTCCGATAGACAGTAATTGGCCAGTAGATCTTCTCATTTCCAGAGCCTAGTTCAAAGGTACCCTAGAAGATGGGTCATCAGAATATGCAGGGTAAAGCTGTATCTGAGAAGTCCACAGTGCTGAGCACAGTTCAGTGCTGTCTCAGTGAGGCTGTGCAATATGTCCCTTATACACCACACATACTGTAGGTTATGTCACTGACATAACTACTTAGAGTAGGAAAGATTTCTCTTGACTTGTGGCTTTAGATGATTCTGTTCATGGTTTCTTGGAATCATTACTTTTGGCTCCAGTAGAAGAATGTTATGGCAGGAAGCACTGTAGAGAAAACTTCATTGTTTCCAGGAAGCAGAAATTGTGGGGTGGGCAGGGGAAGGGGCAGAGGGTGAAAAGACAAAGAGAAATAGAGAGAAAGAAAATGGCCAGATTTCAGTATCGTCTTTAAATGTTCTCTGTAAGTTAATGTTCTTCTATTAAGCTTCAGCGTCTATAGTCCCAACCCCTTCCAATAACCTTTTGACCTGGAAAGTAAACTAAATATCTGAAGCACTGAGGGATCTCAGGGTCTAAACCATAACACTAGTGAGTACAATTTCTTTCCCTTTTAGTCCCTAGTACATTTAATTTTGTTAGCAAATAATTTCCATCAATATTTAACTCATTTTTTCTGTACTTTTTGTGTAAGTCTCTCCAAGCAACTTTAATCTCTCTGGACTTTGTGGAAATTTTTGCTGGGCACCACTGCTGACTAACTGGAAGAGGGAGCCCAATGAAACGATGAATAGCATCACTTCTCTTGCAAGAATATTTCTGTAGGAGATTTTTCTTTCATCTCTTTATTTTAGTAAATCAAGTTCGGCATTTAAGATTCAGCCAAAATGCAATCATGAGCCACTGGGCGCGGGTAGTTGTACTGCCTATACAAGTGTTATTACCGAAGAACAGTCTGCTTCAACAAGAGTTTGATGAGAAAGTTATACCCTCATGGCATTTGTCTCAGTGCTCAAAACACTCCACTAATGTGCTGAGGTGACTTTTCTCCTGGGCACTGAAGTGTGAAATACTGTTGTAATATTACAGAATCAAGAAGGAGGCCACAAAAGCAGGGGTTTCTCAACATGTGGCTCACGACCCCCCTTTCTTGAGGTCAACAGAGCTTATCACAGGGGTTGCCTATCGGATATTCAGCATAACAGATATTTACAAAAAGATGCATAACAGTAGCAAAATTACAGTTATGAATTTTGTAGCCACACAATAATTTTATGGTTGGGGGTCACCACAATAGGGGGAACTATATTAAAGAGCCCACCATTAGGAGGGCAGTGAGAACCACTGCACCAGAGCCATTTTCTATTTCTGATGGTTTAGTCATTTCCAGCTGAGAGAAGGTCCAGTAGAGACTTATAATATGTCTTAACTTAGTGTTGTTTTCTCCGAGCAGCCGTACACATAGCGAAGCCAGGCGCACCATGGCTGTGTGCTTCATACTACTAACCCGACTCCTTCCAGGAGGGGTGTAGTGAGTCTTGTGAATGAGATGATCGAATGAAGGCCCCTTTTGTGAGACAGAACTTTAGCAACAGAACTATCCAAGGTGACCTGTCCTTCATATCACTGTTCAGGAGAAGCTCAGATTATGTATAAACTAGTGTTGACCTTTGTTTGGTGCTGTCTGGCAGTGAGACCACAGCTTTTCAGAACTGTGCTGATACTCAGTGTCAGGGCACCGAGACTCTTTATGCCGCTGATAGATCTGCTTAGGTGAAGTAAAGTCAGTGACGTGACATGTTTTCATTCACTACAGTGAGAGATTTCGTGTGCAATGGATACAAAAAAAAAAAAAAAAAAAGGAGAGCAGAATGGCAGAATAAGCCAGGGAGCATGTGTTCCTCTTACCAAGGTGTCATAACAATAATACAGTCAGGATCTGAAGTGGAATTCAGCAACCCACAGAGGGGTCATATTTGATGCCTATTGATATGGTTTCCAGATAGCCTAAACCAAATTTGCATGTGATAGGAAAGAAAAGAACTCAATCACATTAGCTACAGGGCTGGGAAGGTGCAAAAATAGTAAGTCATGATTTTCTCAGAAAGTGGTAATCCTGATCTGTTCAGGGTTACTTACTTGCTTATACCTTAGCAAGCCTGACTCAGCAAGGACGATTGGAGGGCCAGCCTCGGGTCTTTCATTATCCAGTGCATGAGCTGAGAATCCTTTGCAGGTGGTGGTAGCAAGGATCAGAAAAGACTGTTGAGATTTGGTAAGTGAAAAGAGGCTCAATTTCCCGAGTGCTTCCGAAAGATCTACTTAATTCACATCTGTTATTGACTCACTCATTGGCAATACTATTGTGGACTGAATACAGGTGCTCTCCAAATTTGTGTTGACACCTATAATTCCAAATGAGAGATGGAGGTTTTTGAAGGAGAGTAAATCAAGAAGGAAGACTGGTTTGGTAATCTGAGTGCTCTCATGAGGACTATAGTTCTTGACCTCCATTTGTTCTTTCTAGGGGCATGGAAGACCAGTGATCACAAAGGGAGACATCCCTCACCAGAGCACTTCCACACTGAAAACCCAACCTAGGTTTCCAGGTTCTGGATCTGGAAGAAAGTCAGTTTGCAATGTTGAAGCCACACAGTCTGTTGAGCTATGTTACCACAGCTCAAGTAAGCTAATAAAAGAAATCACATGGCCAAGCCCCAAAGCAAACAGGAAAGCAAAGGAAGCTATTTAAAGAGGTAGATGTAAGGAAGGCCGATGCTGGCCTGTTTTCCAGTCAGCCACAATCGCAACCTAGTCTGAAGGAGTAGGACACGTGATGCAGTGGTGTTTGAGGAAGCTTGCTTCGTAAATCCACAAATCATGATTTTTGATACAAACTAATGAGTGAAAGTTAACCCTATGCAAAGCATATGACCTGGGCCAGAAGTTCTGAGGCTTTCACTGGCTCTTTCTAACTCTCCAGCTTATTAAATGCATCTCAAGACTATTATGTATTTTATTTAATCCACATCCTGAATCATATTTCCTACTGCATATGTACATAAAATCAAATCACAAAGCAAGGTAAATATTCATTAAGTCTTTCTCCCCATGTACTGTTCCCAACCTAGGATTTCTATTATTTCACTGAAGATTGACCTTCAGGCAAATTGTCAAGAAGTTTACGCAGGTAATGTTATGAATATGTGTACCCAAGTGTCTCTTGGGCAAACAATGACTCAGGGCTTTCTCATTCTTGAAATGATTGAGCCTCAAACCTCAAGCTGACAGCAGAGGTACTGTGCAGATGGATGTTCTCAGTGACTAACGACTGACAGTTTGCTTCTGATTTATTATGCTTCTAGGTAAAACAATTTGCTGCATTTAAAAAGCATTTTACTATGTTCTTTCACTAATTGAATGAAAAACTTAAATTTCTTTTTTACTGAAGACACATGTAGTTTGAATACTCTAGTGTTTTTAAATTAGATTTCTTTTTAGAAAAAGGACACAGTTTCAATTCTTCTGTAGTATACTGACATAATTTTCTCTTTTCCTTAAAAAAAAAGTTCTTAGGTTATCTCCATGCATAGTCCTTGGTTGGAATAGCAGTCTCAGGAAAGACCCCTGTGCACAGATTTTTTTGGTTCTGTTGCTCTCCTTGTGGAGTTCCTGTCCTCTTCAGATCTTACTGTTTCCCACTTCTGTCCTAAGATTTCCTGCACTCTGCCCAAAGGTTTCCCATAAGTCTCAGTATCTACATTGATAGTCTGCAAGGTAGAGCTTTTCAGAAGTCCTCTGTGTCAGGCTCCTGACTTGTTCCCTCTTTTCTCTTTCTTCTGATGTCCAGCCTCTTTGCCTTTCTGGATAGGAATTGAGCATTTTAGCAAGAGTCCTCCCTCTTGATTAGTTTCTTTAGGTGTACAGATTTTAGTAGGTTTATCCTATATTATATGTCTATATGAGTGAGTATATGCCATGTGCATCTTTCTGCTTCTGGGATAGCTCACTCAGGATGATCTTTTCCAGATCCCACCATTTACCTGCAAATTTCATGATTTCCTTGTTTTTTATTGCTGAGTAATATTCCATTGTGTAGATATACCACAATTTGTGCATCCATTCCTCCACTGAGGGGCATCTGGGCTGTTTCCAGCCTCTGGCTATTACAAATAAAGCTGCTACAAACATGGTTGAGCAAATGTCCTTATTGTGTATGTGAGAATCTTTTGGATATATGTAGGAGTGGTATAGCTGGATCTTGAGGAAGCGCTATTCCTAGTTGTCTGAGAAAGCTCCAGATTGCTTTCCAGAGTGGTTGTACAAGTTTACCTTCCCACCAGCAGTGGAGGAGGGTTCCCCTTTCTCCACAACCTCTCCAGCATGTGTTGTCTCTTGAGTTTTTGATCTTAGCCATTCTGATGGGTGTAAGGTGAAATCTTAGGGTCGTTTTGATTTGCATTTCCCTGATGGCTAATGAGGTTGAACATTTCTTTAAGTATTTCTCTGTCATTCAGTATTCCTCTGCAGAGAATTCTCTGTTTAGCTCTGTACCCCATTTTTTAATTGGATTACTTAATTTTTTGCTGTTTAACTCCTTTAGTTCTTTAAATATTGGATATTAGCCCTCTGTCAGATATAGGGTCGGTGAAGATCTTTTCCCAATCTGTAGGCTGTCATTTTTGTTCTGAGGACAGAGGACTATGCATGGAGATAACCTAAGACCCCTGCATAGATGTAGCCCATGGCAGTTCAGTATCCAAGTGGGTTCCATTGTAATAGGAACAAGGACTGTCTCTGACATGAACTGATTGGCCTGCTCTTTAATCACCTCCCCCTGAGGGGGAAGCAGCATTACCAGGCCACAGAAGAAGACAATGCAGCCATTCCTGATGACACCTAATTGACTAGGATCAGAAGGAAGGAAAAGAAGTCCTCCCCATCAGTGGACTTAGGGAGGGGCATGCATGCAGAGGAAGGGAGGGATTGGGACGGGAGGAGGGAGGGAACCACGGGGGGATACAAAGTGAATAAAGTGTAATTAATAAAGAAAAAAAAAGTTGAGTAACCCCTGACTTTATAATCTTAACAGTGAGATATTTGTCATGTAAAGGTTATTTAGTTGTTATCAGAGATTTGTTATTATTTATCCAAGTCTAGTAATGCATTTTAAGACAATTATAGACAATTAGGCACAACCTTACTAACTGTAATTTTTGTGAAATGAAAACAAAAGAAATTCTTTTATCTTTCTCCTTGATAGTACTTTGGATTATAAAACATTTAAAAATTTTAAAAAATATGCCAAATTAAAGTTAATTTATTATTGTGTACTCCCCTTCCTATCTCTCTCTTCTCTTCTTTCTTTCTATACCCCTCTCTTCTTTCTTTCCTTCCTTCCTTCCTTTCTTCCTTCCTTCCTTCCTTCCTTCCTTCTTTTTTTTCTTCCCTTCTCTTCTCTACCTTTCCTCTCTCTTCCCTTCCTTCTGTCTTTCTGTTTGAGAACAGGTCACATGTAGCCAAGACTGGCCTTGAATTCACTTGTACAGTCAAAAATGATCTTGAACTTCTGACTTTCCTGATTCTACTCCCAAGTTCTGGGGTTACTGGAATGTGCTGTTATTTCCAATTTTAATGGTATATGAGGACATGAAATCTAGGGCGTTGTGCATGCTAGGAAAGTAGAATATATACTCATATATTTATTAGTGTGGTCAGTATTTTCCTCATAGCAGAAGTATTTAATAAGGAATTATGATTGTTTTTATCTTTTGAATTTACAATGGAATCTTAGATGAATTTAAGAAGTTTTTCATGAATTACAGTGTACTTTCTAATTAACGAATATATTTAGGAAGTGTATGGCAGTGGGTAGGTCCAGCAGATTGTTATTCTACAGTCCAGGGCCCTGTTGGAAATACTAACAGCAATGCTGGAGATATTTGGGGACACCTAACATGGATTCTGGGGAATGATCTTTGAGTCTCTATTTAAATGATCATTAAAGCTGCTGGTATTTTTAAAAGTTGCTGCTAACTGGCTCTCATTCTAAGTTAAGCATGTCATCTGTACTGACCTTCTCTTAATAAGAGATTTCACCAGGTTCCTAACTTCAAATGTCTGTCTTTTGCTTAGCTCCTCTATGTTTCTACTCTACCTTAGTATGCATTTCCCAAGGACATGTATGATTCTGATTCCTTAGCAATTTGCCTTTCTCTAAGGCTGCTATGCCATGTCTTTTCGAGAACACTGCACTGAAAGGTGACAAAAGCTGTACCAGTGAGCAACAGCTACATAGAGCATGGCTGCAGGGGAGTCTCAGCAGCTCGTGGTCATAGCTGAAGACAGATCTCCATCCCTTTTTGCTTTATCCTTAGGGTTATTTTCTAAGATGTAGGCTACCTCAGTGTTTTTCTTGCTAATAAAGCAAAAGACAGAATAGAATTTTCAAGGCTTTATGGCAAATGGATTGTGCCTGTTCACTCTCCTTTCCCTTCAGCTCCATGTATCTTAACATACTGCTTTCTTTTCCTTGGGACACAGTCTACTGGTAGGTCTACTGTTCCCCATTATTCTGTCCGTTCCCACCCTAGTGTAACATATCCTGATAGTGAACAGTGTCTGCCTACGTCAGCTCCTAACTCAGTATAACTGTGTTGGTCTTGTTTTTATGCTATCACAACACACCTGAGACTGGGTGACTTAGAAGAGAAGTTGGTAAGCGCTAGGGCATGTATTCGTATGTGATGACACCCATCCTTTGAGCCATGATGTCCCAGAATCACATAGTGAGGTAGAGGGCATGAGGGCTGCCAGCTTTCTCCCTCTGATTAGGAAGTCCTGATAAAAATCTCCAGTGACCCTTTAACTCTAAATGCCAGGGTTTAGAGATCTGAACAGGGGCACGGGGGTATGAGACTTCCTTAGAGAGGGAATATGCAAGGAGTCCTGAAGATGTCATAAAATGTGGTTTTAATAATCCCTTGTAGGAATGTTTGCAATTCCTACTCCCCACCAATGTGATATCATAAACTTTGTACATGTTTAACAGCCTTTGAAGTGTTTTAGTGACTTTTTACATGCTATTTTACACGAGTTTTTTTATAGCATATGATTAACGTGGTTGTCATTTGTTAGTTGTACAGTACAGACTTCTGACAGTGTATACATTATTCAGATATAGATAACTGTGAAAAATGCCTAGTTTATGAGTAGACACTATAGTGCTTCCAAACCCTGAATATATAGAGATAGTATGCATAGTACCTTTTTATTTTAGCTTCAGAAATATCTTCACGTGATTGACTTGCAGTATTGACCCAAGTTGTCTCAGCTTTATGGGAGCATTGTCTTTTAAATAGCCTGAAAATATATGTCTCCATTTTGATCTTGATTAATGAAAACTACTCAATCATATATCAGATTCTCTGAGAATCCCCTACCATAGCTTTTCATGGAAACTAAATTGTGATTTGAGAATGGAAGATAATTCTAAGTACTCTTTTAAGAAGGAAGACTTAGCCTCCAGAGCACATGGACTTACCTGCCAAGGCCAGGCTGTCTCTGCTTGGATAATGGGATTCTTTCCAATGATTCCTTCAAAAGCACCGTTTTCATTCTAACCAGCTTTTTAAATCTTGGTAAAATTGTTCAAATACTTTATATCTCTTCACTGTTTGGTTTGGTGTAGCAGTGGGGGAAGTTTGGGGAAGAAAAGTCCATATTTCACACTAAGGAAATCTGTGGAAGAAGTTCGTTTCAACGTAATAGGTTGAAACAAAGGCAACTCAAAGGAACCTTGGAAAACACTTCCTTTTAGCCTATCATTTTATGGATGAGGAAATTAAGATCCAGTGTAGCTGTCAGCTGCTCAAATGGTGACACATTATTAACATTTACCCTGATGTGGGCATTGTACTTTCACATTGTGTTTTAATTTTGAAAATCACTTTTTAAATTACTGCCTGTTAGAATCCTGCCAGTCATTTGACTTTTTCCATTTCTGGCACCTACCATTGTTTCTAGTGAGGCTGGGACCACATTTGGTGGAATACCCCTTTCAGAGAGTTTTTAAATCATGAGATCCTAGGTAGTTCCAATAGTTCATTCTGTATGGTTTGCTTTCTGCACTGCTATGACAAAATGTCTCACAAAAGCCACTAAAGGAAGGAAACGTGTGCTTTGGCTCAT